CCCACACCCCCACACCCCGGTGGACGGTCTAGAGTAATTGGCTGCTAGAGCAGGTCTGGGAGCAACCCCTGACCAAATGCCTAATCTCTCCAGACTGAAATCTCTGGTTGGAGATTTTGGTTTCTTGGTCTGCCATGTTTGTTTCCTCCATGAAACTGGCCCATATTGTAAGGTCTAGCTATAGAAAACTAATATTAAACAGTCATTTATAGTGAAGTTTAATTACATGGAGCACAGTAACAATTATGCATATCATTAAATATGTCAAATAACTGCTGAACGTTTTATTTGGTTGCAGTACTGAAAGGCCCCTATAAGTAGTCTTTGTAGTTTGTTGCTTATACAGCGCGTTCACCTGCTTGCAACTAAAAAAAATTAAAGGGAACACACCTCCCTACTGGAAATGTGTAATTATCAAGAATTTTTTAACTTTCATTTATTTTTCCTATGGTTATGGGCTCCCAGTCTACAACCCAAAGAAGACTGCCATTGACAACCAAGGGAGACACTGAGCAATGACGTCACTGGGTTTACAACTAGAGAGACACCCCGATGCAGGCCCACCTACACCATCTGATTTGCCTGATTTCCTCCTACTTTTTCCTTTCACCTTGTTCCCAAGTGAAACTTCACACCGTCAAACAAACGTGCTTCCAGCACGTGTTACGGCCTCCAAATCACCTTACATCAAAACGCTCCTGTAAAGCCCAGTACGCTGGACTGGACAGGAGGATCTTCACAGGGCAAGGCGATAGCTCACGATTAGTGAAACAGGTAAGAAGCCATTAGGACACACGAGACTCTAACAGGGTGGCCCCCAGGAAAAACACGGACTGTTTCCCAGGCACAACCACCACACTGCGCATTCATGGACGCTGCTGGTGACCGACGGCTGCTCCTTGTGCATACATTGGCAACCGTAAAAGACTGTCTCTTAAGACTGCACCCTAAAGTCTGTGCCACCATAGATATAGTGGTATAAAAATCAAAAGGGGGGGTTGTAGCAGGGGGGTCCCCAGGAAAAGGGGAGGTTCCAGGTTCCCTGCCCCACCCAGAGGATGGCGCTGAGCAGGGAGAAGAATGTAGAAAGGAGCCTGAGGAGGAAGGAGGCAGGATGGAGCCAGGAGGGGGCCTGAGGGAGGCGCATGAGCCGAGACCCGTGGAGAAGCCGCTCTTGTTCCCTGGCCCTGGATGGGGTGACACAGACGTCGGGGAGAGACCGTGGGGGAGGGGGTGACTATGGCGGCTTTTCTCTTGATCTTGCTCTTTTCCTCCCAGACTTGCCTGGCCATTCCTGACCCTTTTCTATGGGTCCCGGCCAGAAGGTGCTTTACACTAGTTGGGCCTTGCTCTGGCCAATCCCTTTGGGCAGACTTTTACCCATGAGGGGATGGGCCACTGTGGAAGTTTGATTTAGAAACTACTTCTTGTCTTTTCTGTATTGCACACTCATTGTAGTAGAGTTCCTTTCCATTAAAGGTCTTATATGTTATGTTTTGATGCAGTGGATGGCAGAACTTATTTAGCGTGGGCAGGTTTGGGGACTCGGGGGCCCCTCTCCCTGCCCTGTAACAAGACAAGAAGAACAAGGAACAGCAGAAACCTTAACACCTATTCCCCTCACATCAGTTCTCCGATTTTAACATGCGCCGATTCCTGGAGCCCGTGGTCTGGGGTGCCTGAGTCTCCCGAGCTCGAGCTCCACTCCAGCCACCACCTCAGACCCCACTATCAGGGTCCTCGGCTGTGTTCTGAGAAATGTCACCTAAGAGAGTAATTTAAAAGAGTATAGGTTCATGTTCTACATAATTATATGCTTAAGAAAAAGGAATTTGAAAAATAAAAGCAGATAAAGATGTTACAAATGAAACACAAATATCTGACAAACCAAGGAAAGATACTCAGCCCACTGCTCACAGGAGATGCAAACGTGACTGACATCTTTGCCAATCAGAGAAAACCCAGCAGAGGTGCACGGAAGGATCCCCTGAACACGCCAGCGTTTTCCAATGCTGCTGGTGAGAAGAGAAATTAGCTCGTCGTTCGAAGAAGGGCTTTTTACATCAAAAAGTGTATACAATTTAACCCAGCAAATCTACTCTAGCACTTATTCTAAGAAAGCAAATACACAGATACTCCTGATGCGTAACTGAAATGTAATGTATCACTGGTATTGTTTACAAAAAGAAAAGACTGGAGGAAAAAACAAAGTCTACCAATAAGGAATTGGTTTTAAAAATATGGCAGGGCCCTCCCTGGTGGTGCAGTGGGTTCAAGTGTAGCACTAGGAAGCTAGCCACAGCCATCGCAGCAGGAGTTCAATCCCCAGCCAGGGAAGTGACCCATAAGGCACAGCAGACCTTAAAATCAAAATCAGTTTACAGAAGAGCATATATACCTTTTTGTGAAAAAATATACTAACAGAATAGACTATTTCAATTATTTAAACATAAAATATAATGCGCTGAGATTTTATAAAAGAACCTGTGGCAATTTATTTTGTGTATGGGCCGATAAACTCTGTGAAATCTACAAGCATGAGCTGTCTGGTTGATAAGAATCTGGGTGAGTCACTAATTCAGGGACTGCTAATCAAGCACCAAGCCAAAAGCTCCAGCACTGGAGGTGGCGGGAGATGCAAAACAGTGAGGATCAAGTTAGGATAATCAAGCTGACTTTTTTTTTTTAAGATTTATTTATTTGTGCACACAGAACTGGGGCACAGACAGAGGCTCAGGGGCGGTGAGAGGATTCACCAGAGACAGAGCGGGGAGCAGAACAGGCAGATCGACGAAGTCCACTACGGAGGGGAGCAGGGGGCGGTCAGGAGAGGTTTGCCGCGCCCTGTGGTCACCTCCGGGGCAGGCGGGATCGAACTCATGCGGAAGCGGCTCTAGATGCTCAATGCTGTGTTTTAACCCGCTGCGCCACCAGGGAGGCCTCAAACTGACTTTTAATACTGAAAAAAGAAACCACACCACTTAGTTGGCTAAATCAAATGGTATGCAAAACTTAAAAAAAAAAAACTTTAGGTATCTATTCCAGATCACTCTCCAATGACAAAATGAAATACCCACTCTACACAGGGCCATGTAAACCTAGGAAACAAAAGCCACTTTTCTAAGGTAAGGTCATGGAAAAGCTCCCAGCTGATGTTCTGAAGCTTCAAGGACATACAGAAGATTTCGGGCCCAAGAGATCTCACCAGAACACGCAACTCCTTAAAGATTAAGAGTTCTGGCCTGTTCAGTGATGTTTTTCTACAGGAATTTAAAGCATCTCGACTGAATAAAGGGGCTTTCAGGGTCAACGTAAGTGGACTGAAGAGCTTCAGCAGCCAGGGCCCAGCAGAGACTGGCAAGGCAAGAGCGGAGGCCAGGCCTCCTGGAGAAGAGGGCATCACCTCGGTCTGGCAGTCAGTGTAAGAGCTGGAAGACGGCTTTCAGATTAAGTTACCCGATTACCATTCCATGGGAAACAAGAACTTGATATGTGTAAACCTACATTTTCACTTTTATGAATGTGTGACATCAGAAATCTGATAGTCCCCAATTATGTTTTCTTTTAAATAAAATAAGCCAAGCATTTCCCCTCCGAAGGAGAAACAAAGGGGAAGAGGGCGAGGTCTAGAAGACTGTCTTTCCCGAACAAACGGCAGACAGACCCACAGGACTCAGGCAGGGAGAGCAGGAGGTGGCGCTGAAAAGAGGCTGCACCCCAGAAAATGAGGACCACGGTGATGGGGGGTGCTTGTCAAGGAGGTCCTGCACCTAAGCTTATGTTCAGCGATTCAACTCCCCTTCATCACTCTGCCTGGATTTGATTTTCTCAACTCCCCATTTTATAAATGCACACACTTTGCGTTTCCCACTCATATGCACCAACTCACACACTGTCTTCGGCAGCACAGGGGGAGAGTTTCTGTCTTCCTGCAGTTTTTCCAGAATGCCTTCAAGGGGCCCTCCCTGGTGGCACAACAACTGAAGCAATGCACTAGGAAGCTAGCCCGCAGCCACTGCAAGCAGCTCAGCCCTGGCTAGGGAGGTGACCGCTGCCCCCCTCAGCAGTGTATCTCAGTCAATCCACCTGCTCTGCTCCCCACTCTGCCTCTGGGGAATCCTCTCACTCCCCACACCTCTGGCCTGTACCCCAGCTCTTGTGTGCACAGATAGATAAAATCTTTAAAACAACAATCATAAACCAGAGCCATCCTGCAGGGGCGGGAGCGGGATGGAGAGGGAGGGGGGCAGGGGATGGCGCAGGGGCGAGTGGGGAGGGAACTGTGGGGACGACACTTGGGGGGGAGAGTAAAGAACCCCATAAATACAGATTAATTCATTAATTGATTAAAATTAAAAAGAACGCCCTGAAGGACTGGCAGAGACTACCTGTAAACAACAGCTTCTTTCCAGGAAATGACCTGCTCTCAAGAGGCAAACGCACATGGCAGGCTCGCGTACCCACCGCTCTGATGGCCTCGTTCCTTTCCCCAGCCCCCAGGTGTTGGCCTTTTTTTTCCATCGTATATTTTAAAACTCATCTTCTCGAACTCTCCTGCACTGCTGGTGGGAATGCAAACTAGTACAACCACTATGGAAAACTGTTTGGAGTTCCTCAAACTGCTAAACATGGAGCTTCCCAACGACCCAGCAATCCCACTCCTAGGTAGCTACCCAAAAGACACAAAAACACTGATTGAAAAAGATACCTGCACCCCCATGTTTATTGCTGCTTTATTTACAATTGGAAAAACATGGA